CGGATGTGAGTTCCTCTCCCCGGGTTGGAGAAGGGGGGAAGGAGGAGCTCTCCTGTACGTTTATTGTTATGTGTTTTGACCCTGTTTTGTTATTGGAACGACTAACACTATAGAAGATTGGCTACTTGGCCCTTGACAAATGTAATTACAAATCACTGACCTTCAAATGTAATGAATTACCGTGATAAATTGCTTTCGCTGAAGAGCAACAGATTAATTTACTTGTTACTTTGCAACTTAGTTTGGCGTTACTTTTCCCGTATACTTATCACAAAAAAGGAAAAATTATGATGTTTTCAAAAATGTTCTGGAACACTACCTTCCATTTTTCATACGCAAGATAAAAAAAAGGAAGGCGATGAAAAGAGACATAGCCTATTCAGCGTTGTCTTTTTTTATCTTTGTTTGTCGCATATTGGCTATGCCTTTCATGTTCTGATGGTTCTAGTGACCGGTCATACAAACCACGGTGTTTTCTTTTTGGTTAGTCTCTTCCTCACAATGTTTTCTGTTTTGTTGAACTTGCTATTTATGCTATTTAACTGCCTGCTCATATTGCTCCAGTTTCTGTATTATTTTATTACTATTTATTTCTTTGTTCTCTTCAGCTCCGGAGCATTACAGCAGAGGAGTGGGTTGCAGATCACATATATACGTTGGCAACTCACACATACTTGACAAGCCAGCAACCAACAATATAAATAAACATAATTCAAATTACCACTCAATATTGAAATTTCAATAACTCCAAAAATAATAACAAAGAAATTCACATTGCATTGATCAGGTTAACAAAAGGCGCACTGTCAGCTGGTACAGTATCTGGAGGTAGCTCATTCCAATATAGTTCTCACCAAAACATAAAAACATCATATAGTTAAGTACAAAACGAGCGTGTTGGTAACAGTAATTAAACACCAGGAAGATACATAGAAAGCGGGGACCGACAACGAGACTTCCAAAAATTGCTTTCGCTGAAGAGCAACAGAAGTCTTCGTTGTCCGTCCCCCCTTTCTATGTATCTTCCTCATGTTTAATCATATTGTTAATTCGACATTTTATTTCACGTAATTTATTTTCATAGTCCCTTCTGCTCGATATGATATATAATGCGGCATTTGAAGATGATTTTATTTGTTTATTCCAGTTAAATCATTATTAATAGTGTAGATAATTTTCAGACTATTTTTTTATGCCTTTTTCATAAGATTCGAAGATTTAATACCCTTACAAGCTTTCACCTCAGTCACACTTTCTCGTCGAGAGCGAGTGTCTTCCAATAGCGTACGCGGAATCAATATCATGTTTCTTTTTACTAAGCGTGATGGGAAAGCATTTACTTGCGTTTAACTCCAATTGCCAGGTTTTGCACTATGAACTAACCCATTGGAGATCCTTCTGCAAAAACGACACGTCATCAACATCCTTTATTGCTCTGTAGATTACGCAATGGTCTGCGACTAATCTGATGCTAGAAGACATAAACGACTCTAAACCATTGATGTAGATTAAAAATAAAAGTGGTCCTAAAACTGATGTTTAAAGGGTCACTGACAGGGAATTTATGCTCGCCGAGGTGTTTAGTTGTACGTGACATATGAGGGCCCAACCACCCAGAAAAGAATTTGCGGCTCGAAATTCGGTTTCTTTCCTCCCGAAGACCATCGATCAAGAACTGGCCGGTTTGAGTCGCGCTCAGTCTCTTCTCCGTGGTCACGGGCCGTTTTCAAGGGTTTAGACACAATCACAAAATTTCATCAAAGTCATGGGTCCTCGAAGGCACACTCAATATTAAAAATAAAATAAAAAGAAAATTAAACCCATTTTTTGTGGCTTATTAAAAGCTGCAAATACGTTGTTCGAAAAAAGGAAAGTTGCACAGAGAGCCGCAAGCACTCTGTGTGTTTACTGCGTAATTCTCAACATGGCGTCGTATCGCGTGTCATGGCTCGCGGGCTGGACGGCGATGGCGGCGGACGACAGGCTTCAGAACTGTCGTTCACGGTACCGTCGAATTTGTCTTCCTTCGAAAGAGAACACGCCCGACCACCACGCCGATTTGCATGAAGACGTCGGTGAGTCGTCTCCCCTTATCGTGGCTGGAGACATCACTCGGGTAGTTGCCCCTATTGAGTCATGTACAAAACGATTTGTCAAAACGGCTATCTAAAATTGTAGAGTAGATCAGTGGAAAAGTGTCCGCTTCACGCGCAGCGGTTCCATCCCAAGAGTAGGCGAACTATTTTTTTTTTTTGTAAAACGTTTTAATATATTGAAACTTTTTTTTTTTTTTTACGATTATTACTAAGACAAAAAAGAATGTTGTGGACAAAACACTGCTGAATTAAATGGTATGGGAATACCCTTTTCCGACACCTCCACACTCAACGCACAGTTAGGTGTAGTTACGATACTTCCGTTTCTCCGACCTCCGTGAGCAGGTTTCGGTTTCGAGCAGTTACATTTCTTGGCTTTATTAAAAATATACTTGACTCTGTAGCAAAATATTAATTAGGTAGTCTTCTGACACCACATTAAATTGCCTAGAAAATTTTTTTGGAAGGTGTCAGTGTTAATTTAAGGACAACGCACTGTTGTCCACGCACTGTTTCCTCCCACTCAGATAGTTTTCTATCCACCGAAGTATGTTACTGTTTGTGTTTAGAGAACTCACTTTGTGCATTAGCAACAGGTGTGAAACTGTATCCAATGCTTTACGGAAATCAATAAACATTGCTCTAGTGACTAAGACTTCAAAGTTTTCAAAGTGATTCTTCTGAAATATGCTCATAATCTGAAGAAATGTAATGTAACGAGTAATTGGTCATACGTAACAGATATTTAGTAACAAAATTACTTTGAAAATTACTGCCGCGTAGAAGTAACCTGGCTATTATATAATTACTTGAAGAAGTAATCCGCTACTTGAAACGAATTACTTCCCAACCGTTCGTTCTGCTAAAGTGGCAAGGGGTGGAGGGCTTTGAGAGCCCCCCACTCTTGCCTGCATTCTTGTCCTTCATTCTTGTAACCTAGAATAGGCTATTTATAGTTGGCACCTACGTCATCAAGATCGCATTCGGAGACGATCGTTGCCTTATTGCCGTGTCAATAGGCATCTCGCCAATCGCTTCCGGTTTCTTAGCGCCAGCATTGCACCCGCCGCGGGAGGGGTAAATTCAGCACATCGCAGCGCTTTCCACCTCCCAAATCTTCCTAACTTTCGATTATCTAGTGTTTTTTTTTTTTTACTTATAGACCAACACGCGGCCCTGACGTCATGCAGCCGTGGTGGCGCTGTCGACGGCACTGAGCATGCGCAAACGCTTGACTTCAAGCGAATTCGGTCTCTGCGCACGCGCAGTGCCCACACCTGGTGTGGGCAAACGCGGGCTTGTTTGTAAACAGCGTGTCGGTCTATATAATAGACGCTCATCATCTTTCTAATCTAAGCCCAGTGTTTCTTTTCACAAATTCAAAAGTTTATGCGCAGATGCTAGTTAATGTTTCAACTAATTGTGACGATTAGCCCCCTCTATTTTGTCCTCCTGGTCGTATAACACACCTGCCCATACCCCATTTGTGTATCGTTTGCGGGTTTTCTAAAACCAATCTGTAAAGCCTAAAGTAAAACACCCTGCATATTTCACCACTAAATTTAACGGGCTTATTTGTTTAAGGTTGTTAAGAAGTGTAACTATTAGAAAGACCAAACTAGCCCATTAACGAATTAAGCGTACAATCATCCTTGCCGTTTAATAAGGGCGAATGCTACATATATTTAGAGTATTTTCCGAACAGTAGTCCGCACCCATGGTGCACAACCCGCAAAAACAAATTTGAAAAAAAAGGAAGAAGTTTTTGCTCAGATATTTTGCAACCGGTACCTGGTCAAAGCTTAGTGACTAGTCCGAACGTAAAAATTATCATACACAGCACACCTAGACAAACGCCTGCTGTATTAGCTAACAAAAAAGCTTGTAACATATATACATCAACATTCTTATACTCTGTTATCCATAAACTCCTCCGTGTCTTGTCACAGTGAATGATCTAGAACAAAAGAAATCCTTGATAGTCCGCATCCGGTAAAATTTCAACTTTTAAACACGCACATAGTCCGAAAAGTACGGCACATAATAATGTATTGCGGAGAAGAGATCGAAAAGGTCTGAAGAATGAGAACCAACAAGGCCAAGCGCAGCGCTTGGTCATCTCTGTTCTCGTTCTTCCGTCGTATCTTTTCGTGCGGTTTTCCGCAATAGATTCGTATCAACTAGCCCAACTTTCTTTCCATCTTATTAAGTAATTATGGCTGGTCTAAACTTTGACATGGGAATTATGGCATACTTCGGTGGCATTTTAGTTACAGAAGCAGGTTCACAGTGGCTAAAGCGGCAATCTCTCTACCACTAAGGTGACAGCAACACTCCCCTTCTTTTGTACCCTGCGTTGACGTCAAGCAGATTACTAACTAGCGGAGATAGCGCGTCAGATGAGAGCCACTAAAACTGGGCGTCTTTTTTCTCACTGAGATGCACCGATACGGGCGAAGATGTACCCTGCTGATCTCTATGACTCTTTGATAGATCGCACATTCGCGCTTTCTAGCCCATTGCGCAATTGAGGCCACCGGTGGGCCCTCTTACGACACCCACTGAAGCCTTGTCAAGGCTGTGGTCACGTGATCTTTGCATCTGTTGTTACGGGACTTACAGATGGTAACCATGGTAACTGTCTAGGCTTGACAGCGCTAGAGCGAGTGTCGTAAGATGGCCGACCGGTGGCCAGATTTGCGGAGGAAGCCTCCGTAAGTGACCTGGACACTGGTGTCCGCAAGAGCAATCATCTGTCATGTTAACACAATAATGAAGTGAAGATAATATAGCAGAAAATAAACGTGAAAATCCGTTATGGCCACATTCATGTACAGCTGTGTAAATACGTATTGTCACTTTGTGTTATTCATTTATCTGCAGCATCCTGGTCTCTAGAAGAAGATGAAGGGGCAGAGGATGGCCTACCTGATGCTGTTCTCCTGCGTGACACTTTTGGTTGCGGCTCACGCTGTCGACGACGGGGGAGGACCCGTCGTACACACAACGGCCGGCCGTGTGAGGGGTTTCCGACAGCAGCTGAATGGAAAAGTTGTTAATTCATTCACCGGCATTCGGTATGGCAAGGCCCCAGTCGGTGCACTTCGTTTTCGGAAGCCGCAGCCCGCGGAGTCGTGGACCGGTATTGCGGATGCAACTCAACCGGCTCCAGCTTGCAACCAAGTCAACTTCGATCCGTGGTCAATAGCACAAGGTGAGACATAACGAAATCCCCCCCTCCCCACGCCCTTTTTGCGTTGTCTTTAATTTTTTTTTGTAGAAAAAAACAACAACAACAACAACAAAGAACACCATCCATTTGATTTCAGCTTGCAAAGAGTACACGAAGTATAGCGCGATTCTGGTATACTGCGCTATCAAGCGCATTAAGGGAGTACGCCAGGCTAGAACACAAATATTTTGTCTACCAAATCGTTTGTTCCTTGGGATATCCGAAATCATAACCCGTTTAATCTCCCCAGCCTTGGGAACTCCGTCAACAATTAATCGTCGTCTTTGTTTCCTTTCACAGTATGGAGATGCATGAGATTCTAGAATGCGAACTACTGAAATTTGTCCTTTGGTGTCTTGCGTACTTCTATTTGATAGGAAAATAAAACCAAGAAACGTGTCCAAGTTGAGTGTGATTCCGGAACGCCGCAAAATGCTGCACGGTGGTTATTACTTTCGGAACTGGGGTGATTAAAAAATTTTCTACGATGCCTAACACTTTTTAAATAAAACCATGTCCTTTGGTTCGCACATTCAAAAGTTAATAACGAAAAATTGATTGAGGGGAGACACCCCCTGGGAGGGTGAACTTTTGATCCCTTGGCTTAAAATTAATTAAAATCACAGAGTAGGCTGGTGGTCATGCTACAGGGTGCATAGCAAAATTTCTGGTCTGTCAGTTAAGGGGGAAGAAAATTAGGGCAGCCGCTATCAGCAACATGCCTACATTGTTTAGTTAATCTATCGTTGGGAAACTATCACAATATTTAAAATTTTTATTCACTAGATATCTAGCAGAATGCCTAGGAGGTGCGGCTATGAGAGCTTTTTGTAAAAAGTCATTTATTTCTATCAATTTTCGCTTGTGCAAAATGGTCAACTTTTTTTTTTCTGTGTCTTCAACAAATTGTCAACATTTTTTTATAAAAGACATCTGTAAAGTGACAAAAACTTTCCATGGCCGCAATTCTTATTAAATTTCAGTCAGGAAAAGTGAAAAACGAGCCTTCCCTGTATTGCCATTATCAAACGATAGATTGACTAAAATGGAATTTATACCAAAAAATGGAACGGAGAAAAATGCGTTCTTCAGCTTCAGTGGACAGAAAATAATTTATAAAAATTAACTTATGCAGTGGAAAGTAGTGAACATTTCTGGGAATACTCTAGATGTTGGTGGATGTAATTATATAATTTTTCAAAATCGTAGTTTTTTGCAGAATTTTTTTTCTGGGTAGTGTCGCCCCTTAACAACCTAATTTTACCGAATAATATTAATCTTTCTGAATTGATCTGGTAGAGACCAATACTGTATCGAACATAGATCTGCTTGATACGTAGATTTTGCACGACAAATTTGGCTGACGTTCCGTAAAACACACTGTGTTCATATTTAAAATTGATTGCCTGACCGCTGGGGCTGTGCACCCATTGAAACCTTTCCGCGGCAGACGAACGTTCAGCCAAATTGAAACTTTAAGCAGAGAAGAAACCCATCCAAACTTCGTGAGAAACTGAAGCTTAAGCTGACCTAAATGGAAACCAAAGCAGAGGGTGTGTGCTTGTCATTTTTTTTAATTTGTTTCAAGTTTTGGGTCTTTATTATAGGGCGGGTACTTTAGACCTTGCTTTTAGATGAGTTTAATTAGCCTGGAAAGGCATCGAACCAAGATAACATTTAGAAAGTAATTAAGAATTACAGGTAGAACGAAATACAACACTTGTTCAATACTGTTTCAGCTGATATGCGTCCGGCTTCAATTGTGCCTAAATCAATTGCGCTTCTCGATTTTTATCTTGCTTGCAGACAGCCGTGCTCATACTGAAGACTGTCTGTTCCTGAACGTCTGGAGCCCGGCAAGGAACAAAAATACTTCGGACCTTGCGGTTATGGTGTGGATCCACGGGGGCGCATTCCAATTCGGCTCGTCCTCTTTGAGTATCTATGACGGTGCATTTCTGGCAGCCTACGGTGATGTTGTCATTGTTTCCATGAACTACAGACTGGGAGCCTTGGGCTTTTTGAACGGGGGAACGCAAAATGTTCCTGGAAATCAGGGGCATCTGGACCAGTCGCTTGCGTTACATTGGGTAAGGGACAACATAGGCGCTTTTGGAGGAGATCGAGGGAGTGTTACCCTTTTTGGGGAAAGCGCCGGGTCAGTGTCCGTAGAGTTTCACCTCCTCTCACCAGACTCCAAAGCACTATTTCAGAGGGCTATTATGCAGAGTGGAGCTTTATGTAGTCATACACAGAGGGCCAATGACCCCAGGCTACTCATGAAACTGCATAGGTTTGCCGTGCACCTGAATTGTACCAATTCTCCGGAACCTGACTTTCCTCTCCAAATGAATGTGATAGAGTGCTTGCGACGGTCAGATCCTGAACATCTACAAGTAGCGGAAAGGTCGATCTGTCCCAGTGAGGTATGCTTCCGGACAGTCTTTGGGGTGCCCTCCCTGCAGAGTGAACCCTGTACAACTGAGTATCAAGGGAACAAAGACATATTGATCGGTCACGTGGTTAACGAAGGTGGAATGCTAGTTTACGGATCTTTTCCGGCTGTGTTCCAAGCTGGCTCGCCCCAAAATTTGACGAAAACGGAGACGGTCTTTTTACTAGCTCCTTTGTTATCCCCTCCAAGTCCCGAACTTCTAGACGAGCTTCACAACCTTTATACTCGTGACATCGAAGACACTGACTTCGAGAAGCTGAGACGAGCTATTCAAGATGCTTGGGGTGACAGGATTATAACCTGCCCATCAAAGGAAACTTCAGTGAGGTTGTCAAGTAATTCAGATAATTCAGTCTTCTATTACATACTGAACCACACTTCTTCGAGTTCGTCCCAGAAGCCCTGGAACGGGATGTCACACCTCGACGACGTCCTCTACGTCTTTGGAAGACCGGTTGTGCAGAAGGCGTCTTCTGATGACCAGAATTACAGCAAGAAATTAATGGGTTTATGGACTTCATTTGCGAAGTATGGGTAAGTAGGTTTTTTTTTAATTTTTATCGCCTGTATTAGACTTTATGAACGCATACACTCCATGTCTCACTACTTTGAATGTTCTAAGCAAGGTAATGAAGTGCTCCCTCTTTTCTTTCCCGTTTAGAAAGCAGTCAACAAAAACAAGCTTCTCAGAACAACTTCCAGGACGTAGCGTAGTTTGAAATGTAGAAATTAGTTGTGTGAGAACAGAGGATATTGGCCGAATATTTTCCATTTGAATATCGAATAGTTTTTCCACGCCTTCCATTGCATCACGTTTAAACGAGAACCCAGCTAAACTCGTGAAAGTTGTTGCACGTGTTCATTTTAAGTTTAATGCATATATAGATACATTAAACTTAGCTTATATATCTGAACTGCGACCTCAGAAGGCAAATAAAAGACGGACTTGACGTAAAATTAATCCTATAGATTACCAATCTTGCTATATAAAATGTTCTTTCTTTAATATCGAGCACATGATCGCGCATGATGAATGCAGGTTGTAAGGGCATCTCTGCCTAACATATAGTCTTGTATAATTCAGTTTAATTTTGAATCTTTTGCTACAATGTAGAAATACACATTCAGAAAGTTTCTATTTATTTTCAAATACAGCCGGCACGCGTGCACCATCCTGCTTTGAATGTATGATTTTCTTTCAAGCATGCATTTGCGATATTCATACTTTCCAAGTGTTCATCACGGGGGGTTATTCCATTGAGTGCACTTCTTTCCGAGCACCGATACAATGCACAGAAGCATTACCCGCGGAGCTCGCTTTCGCGGGTAATGCATCTCCGCAGTGCACCGGTGCTCGGTAAGAATGGCGCTCAACAGGGCTAACACGCCGGAATCAACACGAAAAATGCGAATTGTGCAGTTCTTCTCGAACCGAATATCGAATAGCATATTATTCTAAAGTACTATTCGAAATTTCGAATATTCGCTCAACTCCGTTCACTCTTAAGCTTAGACTGCAGCCAACGCCGCATGCACGAAAGCACGGTACATTCGCTCTTGAAAGCCTCCTCCGCTTTCGTGTATGTGTAACATTTTTCAAAATATTTTGCGTTTTCATGTATATTGTGCTTAGTGTCCTGTGTCATAACTATTGCATATTGTCATCATCAAATCTAGTGTTCTTATTAGTCTTCTGCTCTGTGAAAATAAGCCAAAGTTGCTATACGTTTGATTTGTGCCTGGTCAGTTTCCGAAATTATTTTGTAACGCCATATTTAACAACACATTGATTAAAAAAAATAGGCTATGGATATACATCCATTTTACATTTTTAAACTTTCGTGCACTAGTTTACATTTCAGTATTTAAGAGTTTTTTGCGTTTATTTTTCCAAAATATTTTTATTTATATTTTCTTACTTATTCTCTGGCCGTCAAGACCCAGGCAGATCACCAATCCGGAGCCTTAGCTCAAACGCTCTGAGACCCCTGATCCAAAGTAACAAGGCCTATAGATTGAGAAATATGTCCAAACGTTTTTCTTGTTGCTATAAATAATCGTCAGTTCAGCCGTAATCACCACAAGAACTGTAATAAAAAGAAGTTAGGCCACTCCCGCATCATTAGTAATTTGCTCCTTTATGAGCTAAACTAAGATAAATGCGGGTGAATTTTCTACCAAGCTTCGCGTTCTTTTATCAAGGCTTACAGGTTTCAAACGCCAAAGGCATAATTCCTTACTCCGACAACCGAATCTTTTAAGGACTACTTCGTGAAGCGCATGAATAACGCGCAAGACTTTCTTTTCTTGATCTGGCAACGAGTGTACGGCATGACACTCTTCGCTCTTGCTTTCCTGAGCATGCGACATGATGTTTTCAGACATCGTTATATTGCTTATGCGGACGTCGCTTTGGGTTTGGTTGCACGTCCCGCTACATGCCACATCTGAAAGACATGCACACCGTGATCTGGCGGTGCGAACTTGATTACAGATATACCACATAATATCTGGAAATATTTGCGCTAGCTATGTAAAGTGGGTATGAGTAGTCTTCGACTGTTTTTATTTCTGCAGGAAGCAACATCTCGTGGAGGCGTACCAATGGCCACAGCTTTTGCCTGGTAATCTTGCTGCCCTGAAGATCACGAACAGACCGCCTGAGCAGACAACGCTCAACTTGGGAGATCGTTGCCGTTTTTGGAGTAGAGTGTATTTGCTTCAGAACCAGTATGATCACTCGTAAACTCCCAGAGGGATGTCGGACGGCTCAAAAAAGAAGAATGAGATGTGCGCAGACACAATAAAGTTTCTAATTGCCACTGGAAGAATATTAGGACACGTGTTAGGTAACTCGCTCGTGAGCTTTGCTTTCGGAAACATTAGATATATGAAGCAAACAAGCATCCGAATCTGACAAAGGGAAGGTTAGTAGTAATAAAACATCCCCATTGAGTACGCAATACATTTATATCGTTTCATTAAACACCAGCTTGCAATTCGAGGCCTAAGAAACTTAGGCTTGTTGTAATTCTAAATTATTGTGCACAACCTCTCTAGCCTCTCTAAAGTATTATTATTATTATCAAGTTGCTTTATCAATATAATATTGTTCCAAAAGCCCTTTAAGCAGACAGAGACAAATTTAAAACTAAAATATACCACTGGCCTTCTAACAGTGCCTGTGCAACGCTTTCGCGGGAGTTATTTAATGAGCGTACAAAACAACCAGCATAAAACAAAATACTCGTGTTTTAAAAATGCACCTGACGAGCACCACGTCGTGGCATTTCTTTAAAGGGAAACTGAAGCGGTTCTCTATCTGAGAAAAAACATTTCAATGGCCTTCATTCTACCTCCAGGATCAGGAATATCAAGATTATTCTTCAATTTGGTGCACGGAGGCTTCAGAAATTAATTTTTAAAGTACCGCCGAAGCCCCTCCTTCCCGGGGCGTGACGTCACACTAGGAGTTTTCGGAATCTCTGCTCTCGCGCATCTTCATCGCCTGTCAAAGCTATGCACGCGCACTCTTTTTCAGAAAGGTCAGAAAGAGACGTCACGACTGGTGTCAGTGCGGGGAAATATACCTGGCAAGCTTGCCGTTGCACGCGCTGCCCACACGAGCGACACGCGCTTGGCGGCCCGAAGATCCTAGTATGACGTCACGACTGGTCGAATGTTTTTTCGCTTTTTCTCGCTTTTAGTTGCATCTTCAGGGAAAACAAAAGTGATATTCAGATTCACAGGATAAAAATACGCCAGAATTCACCTCACTCGTTTTTTTCAAGAAGTGTTTCAGCTTCCCTTTAAGTCTGAGCTTGGCCGTGAAGGTTGACATTACATCGTTTTACACTCCGTTTCACGATAACTTGGCGAACTCTGGAGGCTGCTGCCCCCGCGACCCCATAAGAGCGTCGGAGCAATAAACGTGACAGCATTCCATGTTCCAGGTCACGGAGGCCTCGTAACCGCCACAGCGCTCCATGGCTGTGTTCACGGAGGCATCGTTACAGCCACGGCAACAGCGCCGTCCGCAATAAAATGTAGTTCTGGGCATCTTTTTTTTTTTTTTTTTTAACGTCAATTAAACTCGCGCGATTGTATCGATATCGACATTATGCTACACGACACGGAAGAAAGACGAAGACATGTTACTTTGCAACGATACTTAAATCGGATCAAGCCTTTTTTTTAGAGAACAACGTGGCATTTCAACGATGTTTCAACGGTCGCAGCCCTGTAATCGACAGCTTCCGCTCAAAACGCCAACCTGGCATTAACACCCGCCACAAATTCGCGGATAAATTCAGCGTGTGGTTTTTTCACGAACTGTTCTCGAAGAGCTCGCTACTCTAGCGGACGGCAGTGTTGCGGCGGCGGTCGTTTATCCGAACTTGGTTGGTTTCGCAGCAGGCGTCTCTTTGCCAGCGGACGACAGCCGGTTCCTCGGCGCTTCGCATTTGGCTCAGTGAGACGCACGCTCCCGTGGCATGGGGCACGTGCCTCGCTCCGACTCTCTTATTGGGTCCCGGTGGACACAGTCTCCACAGTTCGCCAAGTTATCGTGAAACGGATCATAGTAAACGTGAATATTGCATACTTACAATAAACCAATCAGATTCTGATCTCGTCTTCCCTTAAGGTCATAGCAGATGTAGTAGGAAATATTAGATCGAACTAAAATGCAGAAAGTCTAATATATTTAAAGCTTGTAGTGATACTTGACTCTTTTTTTCAGTTGGAAATTTTGAATAAAGGAATTGTGTAATATCTAGGGCATTCAATCAACAGCATGGTTAAAATTCGTCAATACCTTGAGGCTCAATGCGAAGAAAGCAAAACAGAGGACCGAGACATAGATGTAGAAGCTTTCAGTTTATAACAACAATTATTGCAAGCCAGCAGAACTCCGCCGAAAGAGATATCGGTTGGGAAAGGAAGGGTAAAGGGGCAGTAGATGGAAAGGAGGCGCTGAACAACGACAGCGACGGCACTCTTTGCTTGTCGTCGCTGTCATTGCACATATGTCTGCCGCTCTGCCTTCTTGTTTTCGCAGTCATGCGCCTCCTTTCCATCTAGCGCCCCTTTTTCCCTCCTTTCCCAACCGATGTCTCTTTCGGCGGAGTTCTGCTGGCTTCGAATAATTGTTGTCATAAACAGAAAGCGTCTACTTGTCTGTCTCTGTCCCCTGTCTGTGTTTTGCTTTCTTCGTATTGAGTATTAATTTAACAAGCTCGTCAAACTCATCGCCTTGATGCTACAACGTTAAAATTGATATAGTTCAGCATCTTTCCTAAACATGTTCAGCACTGGGGATTCATGGAGCTTCGCGTGCCATAGACACGAGGTGCTATCGCGATTAGATGGAAGGGTAATAAAAGAGATTCATTTTTCACGCCCGTTTTGCACATAAATATAATTTTCCTGGATTTGGCTCAGGAGTACTATTGGAAAACCGTAGACTATCCAAAACCAAAATATTTTCTCATGTTTGATGATGCGGGGGGAGGGGGGAGGGGTGAGTGGGGTAGGGAGGATAGGACCATTAAAGAAGGTTGTCTAAGTACAGAGACATAATTTCTACTTCTGGTCAAGAGGCCATGGCGCAGACAGGCACCAATATGCGTACTGATGATTTCTATTTCATTTTAATTCTGCGAAATTAAGAAATATTCGCATCACAGACTCGCAGCCAATGTTCGGGAAAAAATACAAAAAACAAACTGATGACCATTTAATTTCAACTTCACTGAACGAAACCGTTATCATCTATCGTATGGTGGGATCACAACAGCACAAACTAAAAAAATAAAATAAACTAGAACAACAATTTAAGAAATTTGGAGATTGAGAAAAAAAAGGTCCATGTCATATTTTGTACACAAACCATAAGAGGGTACTTGAAAGAGGGAATTTGCAATACGCTTTTAAACAAGACCATATCGGTGGTTTACGTACAAGAAACACGCCCGTTTTGCAAAAATTACGTGAAACAATTTCTGCATGTTCTGAATATTGTCTGATTTTTGGATGGTGTTTTTCACAAACACTTCGGCCTTTATTGATAATTGGAATGCACGTGCGCGTTATAGAAATCGTGACTACCATAAATCTGTCTTCATCGCTTCGCAATTCGCTGATCCAACTCGGATTAACATGAAATTTCGATATTCTGAGGTACGCGCGGCGATGTGATCTTTATGTTGTTTCATGTATGATCGGTTTGGCGAAGCGTGGGACGGGGGAGGGGGGAAGAGGGGGCGGCAATTGATTGCTGTCTTTAGATTGATGAGGGCGATGATATTTGAAAGCTTAGAGAGATATGCGCGCCGGGGATACCATCGAGTACTTTTTGAATAACCGCTGCATTGAAACAGTTTTTAGATGCGAAATTCAAGGAATATGAATAATTCGTAAAGTATTGTTGGGATATGCCGCTTGCGGCCATGCCATTAAAAACAGGTCAAGTTTGGTTAGGCGAATTATATTTGACAGGTTAAACAGGAGGACATTTATGCGCCGAAAACGGAAAGATAAAATAATTTAGGTAGAATATTTATTTTATTTTGCCGTTCTGGGGGCTTCCATTCTGCACATCTTGAATAACTGATACTCGGAAAAAAAATTGAATTAAAAAGTCGGAGGAACTGAGGGAATCGTCAATTGCCCACGGTATGTGTGGTTTCTGGTGAATAAAATCGATGTTTGACATGCACGTGAGCCTTATACAGATAGTGACTATACACCCAACATCATACCTATGTACTTTTCGGTGATCAAACTGGGATTTCAAAAAAAAGAATAGGAGTTGCTTAACTTATATCACGATAGACCCTTTCCAAAATTCAGTCTGGCCACTTTGATCACTATCATCATCTGAAAAATGGCAGACGTACTATACTAATGGTGGCCTTCTGTTTACTGATGAATGCAGATGATTCGAGGCCTATACATTCTAAACGTTACCGCGACGTGAAACAGGAATTGGATGCAAGAACTGCGTAAGCTTTCATTTCTAACTCGGGCCCAGTCAATTTGTTAGTAGCACACAGTCAGCTTCGAAGCCCCTTGATGTAAAGAATTTTATCACTGCGTCAATGTGGGCTGGTGCTTTGTTCTGACTGGTCGCATTCTTTTCGCCATCAACACTGAAAGAGATTGAGAGAGAACTGTACAGTGAAGCACGCATTCTCATTTACCGTTGACTTGCAAAAGAGTCAGTGCCCCATCAAATATTGCAGACCTCAGGTTCATTGCCGCCATTAGTATAGTAAAAGTTAAACTGCCATTTGAGTCACCAGGTGGCACTAAATTCCGGAAGGAGTCTATTTACGCGCTAAAACACTTCTTTTTTATTCGTCGGAGTGTTTCTCCAAGCCTATTGACGTTTAGTTTGGTGTGAACCTGAAAACAAAGGATGTTAGGATGGTGCGATGGTGTTGCTCTATTTTTGTGTTACCATACGCTTTTCCCCCTAGAAAATATTATTTACAACGTTACAGGTTTGAAATAACATGGAACCAGGATAACGCCTGTTGAACCCTGCTAACAGCTTGAACAAGCTTTCGTACAGACACATTTTTTTCCCAGCTGATTCCGACCTCCCCTTGTCACATATAAACGTGACGAGTTACTGCAAGATAACGTGTGTATCTGCCATAAAAAAGAGGACTAAAATTATTTAATTCATAAATAAAACTACCTATATTTTTTTCGAAGCTCGAGATAAATTTTGACACGTCATGCAATCACAGTTTTGATGGCGGTTCATGATCATTACGTAAAAAGGCAGAGTGCCTCTTATAGAGCTTTGCGGGACTAAGTCGTTGAAAGTCGGCATAAACGTCTATAGACGTTTTCATCCTCCTCCGCATGGGCGCTGCCATCTTGGAATCACGTGACGCGGCAGCCATTAGGTTGCTTCAACTTGCTGCTCCGCTCTCCCCTCCGCGCCTTGGCGGATGCGTTGTATTCGTGTTTTACGTCGCGCGTTTCACCGTGCTTTCTTGCATTACTTCAGAAACTGTAGTCCGATACGTCTACTCGACAACTAAGACATCATGAGGGTTCAAAGGTCCTTATGACAACTGAGGTTTGTTTCTTAATAGTGGTGGAACATTTTCAGTAAAAAGCGCTTATATTCATATCACGCATTTTGGATCGGAAGGAGCGTAAGGAGACTGTATTTCCTGAAAGTATCGTTCTTTGTATTCATAATATATCGAAAACAGTTTCCTTTGATTATGTGAGAAAACTCGCACAGGTGATAGACAACGAACGTTTAAATTGCATTTTATCTGAGGCTAGAAGTAATGATACGCCAACATCGGGCGATTTGTTTGTTCATAATATTACACCTACATGTGTATGAGGTTCCTAAACTTTTTTTTTTTTTTTTTTTGCGACGTGAACGTTGGGTTGGTCGGCTTACTTATAAAGTTTAAGAAATTGTATACCGTGCTCGTCTCAATTTTGACAGTCATTTCAGTGAATTATTGATTAGATTTAAATATCCAGTGCCCCACTGCCATCCACAGAATGTATTTTAACACAAAGGTCGGGACTTCCCGCTTAAGAAACAGCCACAGACACTTAACAATAGAATTTTTTAGAATAGCGTGCACACAAAAAAAAAGAAAAAAAAAAACATCGTCGTTTGTAATAATGACGTCGCTTTTTTTTTTTTTTTGCGCACGCTGTTTTAATTTTTGCCCGTATCTGGAATCCGCAATATTTGACGCAAAAAAAAAAAAAAGACGTCTGCATAGCATTTACTCGAGTCCAGGATTGTCGATGGCGAATAGAGGTTCACTTTTGGTGGCTGCCGACGCGGAAATTTACAAAGCGAATCTGTTCAAACAAATAAATGTTTGTTCACACAGGTCCATGAAGTGGTGCCAAGCGCTTGAATTCAGCTGAACTTTCGGAGGTATTTCTCCTCCTGCGCCCTATAATTTTAATTGGCCAATTTTATGGGAGACAAATGCCAGATCTAATTTGACCGGCCTGTCACTTATATCACATCTTGAGTAAGCAAATATTCGGATAAAAATAATTTATTGCTTAGGGCCAATATCGCGAAAGGCTGCTAATGAGTTCTTTAGCAGGGTTGATAATTTAACAAATTTCCTACTCGGCCTGTCGAAACATGCTCGAGTACTGTATTAAAAAAGGGCCTGAGACGATACTACTTGTTTATATCAATTATCTGCGTCATTACACGATACGTTTTTAGTCTGACGAGTTCGCTAAAGGTTGGGTGCCTACGAAAACTAAAGAGTGAGTAGTAAATTCGCTAGTTCATCTGTTCTGGTCGATTCAGCACAATGCTAATTAAGCTGTCGATATGCTTCTTTACATTCACGTGTTAGTCTCTTCAATAGTTTGCTTTCCTGGAAACTAGCGTCATCGGGTACGGCCGTAGACGATGGTAATCTTCCCGGTACATCAGTCAGGCGTTTCGCAACCGACCATAATCAGATCATCAAAGGAGTTGGTAAAAAAAGCTTGCAAAGTAGGCTAAAATACACCGCGTAGTCCTCAAAGTGGTTCAGTAACACTGTTTTATTTGTTTTGTGCTACAAGAAAAATAATCATATCACAAAATTAAGCAAAAACAACGTAAAACAGCAACATAGCCGCTTTCACGTTGAAACCGAAACCAATAAAATTGAAGCAACCTAATGGCGCCGAGCGTATCAGCGGCCTCAATCAGCCGGTGAGGCAACTACTAAAATGAAAAGGTCTATACTTCGTTTCACCTAAGTACAAGCGCAGCCAACGCAAAAAGCTGACGGAATGAATGAAGCAGCGACCATTGTGCAGCGACCAATGTGCAATGAAGCAGCGACCAATGTGCAGCGTCACGGCAATCGCCATTGTGTGTGCTATCATCGGCCAAACCGATCAACCGCTGTGAATGCACCATGATCTTGCGCTTTTAGTATGTGTGTCTATGATTGTATGTAGTCCAGCCCTGCGCTTTCACGTATAGTGAAACGGAGCATACTTAGTTGGTCGACTCACGTAGTGGCTGCAATGTTTCACCAGAAAAAGTAAAACAAAAGAAATAGGGACGCGATAATGCTATTATTCACATTGCATTCCTGCAGACTTTACCCGAAAATAGCGAATGGGGCCTTCGACCACGATAACGACCGATGAGGGACATAGAGGCATCAGGAAAGCGATATCGGCCAGCTAGAAAGAACAGTGCTCTACAGACGTCCAGTGCGGAGGGTTCGAATCATCTAAAACGTGCCAGGGACGAGCGAAGTACACATTTCAGCGGCCAATTCTTCCAGCACTTGACACAGAATAGACAGGTGAGGCGGAGCTTTCAAATTAGAAGTAGTTTGAGAGCTGCTTGACCGTCTGTTTCGGTGTTATGGTGTGTTTAAAGGAAACGCGGCTCACTGTAAAAGCGTTTCGCGGTAAAAGTGATCCCTGCTTGGCACCGCGAATTATGCTCCCTTTATGTTTTTCGACCGTATACGTCATTTAAAACACAAGGCTAAACAATAACGATGCATATGTACTCAGTGCTCATGAAGGCATGCTATCCTAAAAAAATGCAGTTTTTTCTAAAAGAACTGGAAAAACAAACAAAAGAACTGCGGGCTAGCCGCACGTCGGAACGTAAGTACAATGCAGACCCGCCTGCGGGGCAGCCCTTTGAGGGTTATAATATCTGTTTGAACAGTTTACGTAGGTCCGTAAATATTTTATCAATTTCGTTTTTTTTTTTTTTTTTTTTTAATTTAGCAGCGCAATCAAATTTACAGGGTTGGGGACAGCGATGACTTTGGTAGTCAGCAGGCCTCGGTGACTTTGAGGCAAAGCGCCGACCTACCGATGGGCGGGTGGAGGGTTGAAATGCCGACCAAGGAGCCCGGAATCTGACAGGCTTATTGCAGACTAGGTGCCATCTAACCGAGCTTTTGATTGCCGGTCAATAGGTCCCCATGTTCTGGAAAATGATAATAATTCTCCCGCTGGGTCTTGCGATATTTTCTTTTTTGGTTTGGCACGGAAAACTGTCAAAATTGACGCTTATAAACCTTCGCAAAAAGAGCTCTCTGGCCGCCGCCACTTTGCGAATCGAGTGACCCCTGTCGGCCAGAAATTTCTCCCACCTGCCTGAGCTGTGGAAACTCGCTCAGCGTGACTCCCCAGCTGCATTGTGCATTCGAATTTCGCCGGCTTTTCTTGGACGTTTTTAATTTATTTGCCTGTTTAGGATGCTTACTTTTTGTGTGTTATCTTCCACTGTGAGAACCAAGGAATATCAGGGCTCGTAGCCTGCTCGGCCTTCGCAGGAAACGGACGAAGAGAGCGAACGTCAAGCAGCCCGCGACGCAGGCAGTTCGGCGTTCTTGGAGGATTATTTCCATCGAGATAATCTCCAAACAGCCTTCCCGGCTTCTGTTCTGGGTCTTTGCGAAAAATAGCTGATATGGTCGGGTCCGGGGTATGGGGACGGAATAGACACGTTCGCTCATTTCCTTTGAAGCTGTGCCAAAAAGCGACTCTCTTCTACATGTTCCCCAAAACACACCGGATTCCGTGCGATCGTCGTGAAGTGACTATCGTCGACACTGTATATTGGATATGATGTGTTATTTGAGACCTTTCTCAAATCCTGTTCGGAGAACGCGGCACCGTGGGGTACGTACAATATATGTTGTTCAATTGATGACACTCGTTAAATTTCATGTTGTGGGCGGGGAATATCCATGCAGTTCGGATTTCCTGTCTGGTCAAATATTTTCGACGGTTAATACCTTTGTAGATTGACACGGCTGAGTGTAAATGAAACAAACATTCCAGTTGCATTTGTTCTGTCGCGCACGGACTCACCAAAACAGCTTTCATTTCTTTGTTTTTGTTCCCAAAAATTGTACAATGCATTCTTAAAAATCCCCGAGAAATTCTATTCGCCATAGAACATACAAGAAAAAATGGAACGCGGCAATTTAGCCTCCACCAGCGCCCGGAAGTGGGCCAACGCAGGCTGCCAGAGCCTACTGACGAGAAAACCCACAGCTCAGCGCAGTCGGGCAACACTGACGTACCCTCTCAAAACCAGGGGCACGCGCTGTAAATCGCTTCGTTCGAGACTGCCGCTTGAAAGGTCTATAGCCAGCTGGGGTGACGGCGACCATTGCCCTTTCGAGCATCTTCAGGCTAGAGACAAACATTAAACTTCTCTGCGTGCCAAATCGAGCTGTTGCATATGAGCACACCGAACAGGACGTTCAAATCGACAACTTAAATAGCAAAAAGAAAACGAAAAAAAAAAAGCTGCTTAAAACATAAAAAGACAAAAAGAATCCAGTGTGACTAAGGTTATGCGGAAATCCATGTGACTTACATGACATAAAGCTTGATTGCCATCACGATCAGTTTTATCTTTTTGCTCCATCCTGCGTGCCTGCTTAGGATTATTTATTGTCCGTCATATTTGTTACGACCTTCAAAAATAAACTGCGCGGTGCTGCAAACAGTACTACCTCAACAAACAATAACTTTTGCCTCTGTTAGTCGTGGATGCTACATATCATCATCGTTTATTATTCCTTGAAGGCGCAAGGGGCATTATACAAGGGAGTGAACACTTAAAAAAAGAAGAACACAACTATTTATGAACAAAAACACGGTGTAGTCTAGTAATGGGTTAGAAAAAATAAGCTAATTGCTGCAGAAAATTTTTTAGTGTCAGATAAGGAAACAATTACGTCATGCAGTGAGTTCCAGCCGTCAATGGCCAATGGTAAAGTAGACATTTGGTGAGTGACGGTTGACGATGAAATCGGACGGAGTTTACAAGAATGGTCGAGACCAGGGAAAATGCGGTAAGGAGGCGAAGCGCTCTGGTGGTGTGTCTCTCCTACAAGTCTGTCGTTTTTAGCGCTTTTAACCCCTAAACATGTTCAACCAACTAGCCCAAATCCAAACCCTTCGGCGATAGCAAACTTTGAGATGACTGTTGTAATAAAAAATCCAATGAACAAGAGAAAGACGAGACACCAAGCGGCGGTGAGAAAGAGTGTCAAGGTTCGCTGATTGGTGAAATCCTGATATGCTTGCGAGAGGGGAACTGTCGGAATAAAATAAAACAGAGGGCTCCGGTTTGAACGAATTCCAGGTTCTTAGTTAGGTATGCCTGCCACGATGACCATATGGAAGAAGCGAATTCTAGTTTAGTTCTGACAATGGTAGTATATGCTAGTTCTTTTACTTGGAATTTAGCTTGTCTGAGGTTACGGCGAAGAAATCCGAGAGTGTGGTTAGCATCGGCGATGACATGTTATGTGAGTGGTCCATGAAAGGTCAGATGTCAGATGAATTTCTAGATATTTGTACAATGAACAAGCAGTTACTGGGATACTAGAAAGGTGATAAGAGGAGGATAGCACATGTGAACTGCGGAAAAAAGATGTCGATTTACGTATATTATGGTTTAAAGCCATTTGCCTTTCATGACACCACTGAATCATAAGTTGGAGATCGTTCTGCAAGATAGTTGATCGTGGCGTGAATGAATCGGTCTATAGATGTCACAGTCATCGGCGAACAAACGTACTTCAGAAGTGATGCCTTGGTGTACATCATTAATGTAGATTAAAAAAAGAAGGGGGCCGAGAACGGTTCCCTGGGGGACGCCAGATGTTACTGTGCTTGTGGTAGATTTTACATTGTGAATAGAAGTGTACTGAGTGCGATTAGCGAGGAATTCATAAATGCAATTGACTACAGAGGGGTGAAGATTAATATCTTTATTTTCATTGAAAGACGTCGATGAGGGACCTTGTCGAATGCTTTGGAGAAGTCAATGAACATGGCGTCAGTTTGAACATTGGAATCGAAATTTGAGTAAACGTCAGTTAGAAATGCTGTTAGCTGAGTTTCGCATGAGTATAACTTGCGAAATCCGTGCTGGTGCTTGAGAAGGAGGTTTATGAGGGTCTAGAAAGTTTATTATGTTAGAATAGAGAATATGCTCAAAGAGTTTGCATGAAACGCTGGTGAGCGAGATGGGACGGTAGCTGCTGATTAGTTGGCGATCGCCTGTTTTATGAACGGGTATGACGTTAGCAACTTTCCAATCGGATGGAACTTCAGATAGTTTAAGAGATTGAGGGAATATGTGGAAGAGGAAAGTGGAAGAAATGCGTTTAGTGTTTATTAATACCTTAGAGTTAATTTGGTCATCTCCGGAGCTGGAGGACACCTTCAGTTGATCTATAGCCTCAAGTACTCCAGTGCGGTCAATTAAGATAGGATTCATAAGAGGGTGAATGGAATGGATACGCAGTAATGTCTGCTCTCAACTTCAAGATGGGTGTTCTAGTATATTTCTGTGGCATATTAGTTACAGCGACAGAGCTACAGCGGCATTCTTTATATTACGGTATGTTACCACCTCAACCTTTTTTAATGCGAAAGCATTGACTGTCTGATGGAGCGAGCTGCCGTCATCAGTCTGAAGCGCGAAAACGGCAAATAGTTTGCTTCGGTTCCATTGGCTGGCGCGCGTCGACGGGGCTCATATTGGCCGCTGCGCTCGTCAGTTTCCACGACCGCCCACCCCATGGCGCTGCGTGTCCATCAACGCGGAACGCCCAAGATGACCAGGGGAGCACACGCGCCGACTGGGGGTGAAAAGTACGCAGCAGACGAAAAAAGGAGCGGACGAGCGGCTTGCATGCTTTCGCATTCACAACTCATAAGGAATGCTTAGGTGTACCTCGATCTTTTTAATTGCAGAGTTCACGTCAGGCATAGCGCTGACGGTAGTGCCGTGATACGTAAAGAGACGCTATTGAGTGCGCGCCAGCTGAGACGTGAAGCCACTTAAACTGGCTAGCATGAACCCTCTTCAAGCATGCTTAGGTGACATGAATACTGCGGTATCTGCAGCATGTAAACTAACGATTTTAAGGCCCTGTATACTGCCTGCCAAAATCGGGTTTTCAGCGTATCACGCTGCAGTTCACTACAGAGGTTAAGCAGGTGGTGGAAGCTTACAGTGAAAAAATCAAAATATACTAAGCTCGTAAAAAAAAAAAAAACTGTTTTGGACGGTTTACGCTGCCACTTCTCGAACGATGCACGCGTAGCAAGAAGTGCTGCCGACAGCTGGCGTACGCCGCGTCGAGGGAGCGCCAGCCGATTCGGATTGGGATAGCAGACGATCCCGCTATAATGAACCCAAATCAGCCGGCCCTCCCTCGTACGCGACGTACGCCATCTGTCGACAGCACTTCTAGCGACGCGAACTCTATGCTACGGCAGCGGGATGCACAAACCATGGTAAGGGTCACACGTTGCGCCTTCTTATCAATGTTTCTGGCTCGCGTTTTAATTTTGTGAACTTCATTTTAGAGCGCAGCTCTTAGGGGCCCGTTTCCGGCTTGAGCGGCGTCGGCGTCGCCGTCGCCGTCGCCGTCGCCGTCGGCGTAACCGCGCGGTGCATCATGGGAAATGTCCCATAATGCACCGCGCGAGCCCCCCCCCCCCCCCGGGGTCACGTGACTTCGTGGGGGGCACGTGACCCCCCCGAGGTCACGTGACCCACCCCCGAGGTCACGTGACCCCCTCCTCGAGGTCACGTGACCCCCCGAGGTCACGTGACCCCCGGCGATGTCGCGTGACCCCCCGATGACGTCATCGACACTGATGACGTCACCGGCATCCACATAGTCATCGTCATCATCAATGATGATGACGATGACGATGCGGATGCCGGTGACGTCATCAGTGATGATGACGATGTGGATGCCGGTGACGTCATCAGTGATGATGACGATGACGATGTGGATGCCGGTGACGTCATCAGTGACGAGTACGATGTGGATGCCGGTGACGTCATCAGTGATGATGACGATGACGATGTGGATGCCGGTGACGTCATCAGTGATGATGACGATGACGATGCGGATGCCGGTGACGTCATCAGTGATGATGACGATGACGATGCCGGTGACGTCATCAGTGATGATGACGATGACGATGGGGATGCCGGTGACGTCATCAGTGATGATGACGATGACGATGTGGATGCCGGTGACGTTAGCGACATCCGCATCGTCATCGTCATCATCACTGATGACGTCATCAGTGACGTCACTTGATTCGTCACCGGCATCTGCATCGTCATCGTCATCATCACTGATGACGTCGTCAGCGACGTCACTGATGACGTCACCGACATTCGCATCGTCATCGTCATCATCACTGGTGACGTCATCAGTGACGTCACTAATGACGTCATCGGTACCCGCATCGTCATCGTCACTGATGACATCATCAGTGGCGTCAGTGATGACATCATCGGCATTGGGGGTCACGTGACCCCCAAGGTCACGTGACCCCCCCTGGTTAGTCTAACCCCCCCCAGCGCCCTTCCCTCCTCCTCCTCAAGAGCTGCGCTCCAATTCGGCGTTACAGGGAGTTGTAAGCGGCTTTCACTTTTTTTTACTAAATTACAATCGCTGTCTGTGTACCTGATTCAAGTCGGAGAAAATTGCAAATAAACAAAATGCATCGGAAGGGGAGGTAGAATAGACAACCAAAAACATGTGGGGTTGCAAGAAGCGAAAGTTTGCAGGCGACCTGGTAAGGATTGTAGTCTAAAACCCTGAGTCTGGAAATAATAAAATAAAGACAATAAAAGTTCGTCTGCGAAGTAGCGTCGTGATTGCACAAAACAGGTTTCTATATTTCTTTTGAGCAAGGTCAGTTCATTCCTTGATATTTTCATTGTAAGCTTCCACAACCGGCCTGCACCTCTGTAGTAAATTGCAGCGCGAAGCGTTGAGAAACTTGAGATTTTGGGGGGCCGTCAAAAGTTCCTTGAAATCGTTAGTTTACATGTTGTCGAACATACTGTCGCTTTGCGACAGTGATGGAATGGAATGAACAGTATAGGATAAGCTAAAAGGTGACGGTTATGACAGCGCCTATGCTAAATTGTCTTAAAATATGTTCTACGTATCTTGCTGTCATCCCTCCTGCCACAGCCTCTAGAAGATGAAGGGGCAGAGGTCAGCCCACCTGTTGCTGCTCTCCTGCATGGCTCTCACGGCTGCGGCTCACGCTGGCGACGACGGGGAGGGACCAGTCGTACACACGAAGGCTGGCTGTGTGAGGGGATTCCGCCAGGAGCTGAATGGCAAAGTTGTTAATTCCTTTACCGGCATTCGGTATGGCAAGGCCCCAGTCGGAGCACTCCGTTTCCGGGAGCCGCATCCCGCGGAGCCGTGGACCGACGTTGCGGATGCCACCCGACCGGCTCCAGTGTGCATCCAAGTCAATATCCAGCAAAGTGGTCTGTCGAGGGAGCAGGGTAGGTATTAATACCCCACATGCTTCTATATTTTAATAAACCTCGACTAAATTTTGGAAGCCCTTCACATTGGTCTACAAAAGAAGTTAGAATATTTAAAAATATTGGATGAGAAGCTTTCACCTAAAAATGAAGTCTGTGACGTGACGTTGTACGTTTCGTCTCGCATTGTATTCCGTCATTACAAATACCCCGCTTTCACTTCATTTTTATAAAATATCGTTTTTTTGTGTTTTTTTTAGGCCTTACAAACTTTAATGATTGGCTCTCTGAGTGCTTCGCGGTAACGATAGACCTGCTGGTGTTATGACAACGATGGTGTTTCCGTCGGTTATTTCCACCAACAAACGTTTGGAGGCCAAATGAGGGTGCTGAAAGCAACTCCGTTAATAAGTATGAAAAGAAAGGTGGCAGAAAGACAGTGATATTACCATGTTGGCTTCACTAGTGCGGATCTAAATATCATGCAAAATAAAATGACCTCATCAAGAACAGTAAACAGACGTAATTGTGAACAAGTTGTATGCGAAGGGATAATGACAGTTCCAAAGTTGAATAGGAGGAGTTGAAATATTTCTCTCGTCACGCAAACGTACGTACTGTCACTAGCCTGATCCGAGTATATTCGCAAGCTGCGCCTAGCTTTCTAGGCAAATTACCGGCTTCCGGATACCCAGTTGGCGGGTTCGAATACCGGTGGAGCTGTCTGCAATCTGACTGAGGTCTATTGTTGAAAGACGCCGTTTAATCGAGATTTCGGCTGCGCATCAAAAGGTCCCGCTAATCTCACTTGGAAGTTTTTTTGTTTTTTTTTTAACTGTAACTTAAGGAAAAAAGCGAAACGTTTTTGACAGCTCTCTTCTTAATGTCGGATCTGAAACCGCGGAAGTTACCCCTTGGGCACGGTGGCCGAATGTGGCTGATGTATGAGACAGGAGCAATTTGTGACCATACGATTTGGGTTGGTGACATTCTCTCGGCGAACATTCTGGCAGTGATTCGTGCTTAACTGCTGCAATGACGGGAATGGTCGAACTCTAACAATGTCTGGACCTCAGCTCGTGCCCCGTACTTTGAAAGTTCCCATCGCATGACTACGATACATTAGCGGCATATAATTGGACATCAAGTTTCGTGGTAGCTTGTTCAAGCTACGTGTTGAGGGGGTACACATTGCTTATTTGTCGTTTCCTGGCATGCCATTGCGCGGAAAGAACTGTTTCTAAGTTTGGAACGTGAAGCATTATTTATGAGAGGTGTCTACTGAATGTACAAAATTGTGGCACTTACTCTTTATTTGACAAAGCTCGCTAATTTAGGTCGAATATTTATGGAGTCAACTAAAAATGTGCCCATGCGACACGTCTAATTTTTTGTGCTACTCTCGATGAGTGATTTTGGGCAAGTGATTGTATTGCTTGTTTATAAAGCCCGAAGTTAGTCATCCACAATGGTCCTGCAATGTATCAACTGAAGATAAAATAGGGTTTGAACTGTGCATTATTCAGTAGTGATAACGCGACCGCATGCCGGGACGATGGCCGATCATATAAAAACAAAGGCCGGGATTAGATCTCTGATCTATGGGTTTTCTAGCACATGCTTCGAGCTGTGATGTGTTGTGAACATACTGTGCCGTCGATATTTGTCAATTTTTTTATTTAAGGTTTAGCCGTTGATTTCCTGGCCAATCGGTGATCCAGCTTCTTGTAGATCCGAATAAAGTCGAAACTTCTTACCAAGCTGAATCTATACATTGAGTGGAAGCTGCAACCCAAATTGATAAATTATAATAAATTCCTATGGCGTTCCTATTCACACTGAGTCATCGAGCCAATCTGGAACTTTGTGCCCTATGGAGCCTTTTTTTCGTCCAATTTAAATTGTAAGCCAAAAAGGCACTGACCCGAGTTGAACTTAAAATGAACTGAACTTCTCAGACCAAATTCGAAGTTTTAAAGAGAATGCCAGATCTGATGAGTAAAGTTGCAGACGAATAGTGGCGAGTTTGATTAGTGCTCTTATAAACACTGTGTCTCAATTTTAAACTCGTTTGCAGACAGCCGCGCCCAGACCGAAGACTGTTTATTCCTGAACGTCTGGAGCCCAGCAAGGAACAACAGTGCTTCGGACCTGGCAGTTATGGTGTGGATCCATGGTGGTGCATTACATTCCGGCTCCTCCTCTTCGAGCATCTATGACGGTGCATTCCTGGCCGCGTACGGCGATGTCGTAGTCGTTTCGATGAACTACAGGCTGGGATCCTTGGGCTTTTTGTACCAAGACAGCCTTTTTGCCCCTGGAAATCAGGGTCATCTCGATCAGTCGCTTGCGTTGCATTGGGTGTGGGACAACATAGCCGCTTTCGGAGGAGATCGAGAGAGTGTTACCCTTTTCGGTGAAAGCGCAGGGTCAATGTCCGTAGAGTTCCACCTCCTTTCTCCAGTCTCAAGAGCGCTCTTTAAAAGGGCTATTATGCAAAGCGGAGCTTTGTGTAGCCATGCGTGGAGGGCCAGTGACCCCAGGCTACGCATGAAAGTTCATAGGATGGCCATGTACTTGAATTGCACCAATTTGTCTGCGCCCCACTTCGGTCTCCAAGAGAATGTGATTGAGTGCTTGCGACAGGCAGACCCCGTGCGTATCAGAGTTGCAGAAGGGTTGGTTTGTCCCGGTAAGTTCTGCTTCCGGACAGTCTCTGGGGTGCCCTCCCTGCAACATGAGCCCTGTAGTACAGAGTGTCAAGGAAACAAAGACATATTGATTGGTCACGTAATTAACGAAGGTGCAATGTTTGCTACTAATTCCTTCCCGGCTGTGTTCCAGTCCGGCTCGCCCAAGAATTTAACGAAAATTGAGACACTCCTTTTGCTAGCGCCATTGCTATCCCCGTTGAGTCCCGAACTTTTAAACGAGCTTCATAATCTTTATACACACGGCCTCGAAGACACCGACTATGAGGAGCTGAGACGAGCGGTCCAGGACGCTTGGGGCGACAAGGTCATAACCTGTCCATCCAGAGAAACTTCAGCGAGGTTGGCCAGTAATACAAATAACTCAATCTTCTATTACATATTAAATCACACTTCTTCGAGTTCACCCCAGAGACCCTGGTACGGGATGACACACGTCGACGACGTTCTGTACGTCTTCCGAAGGCCAGTTGTTGAGAAAGCATCTTCCGAGGACCAGACTTACAGCAAGAAATTGATGGGATTGTGGACTTCATTTGCCAAGCATGGGTAAGTAAACGCTGTTCAATATTTTTTGTCTTAATCGTTAAAATGTTTGGTCAGGTGCATTCCGTGGTTCACTTTTTTTAAAGAGATGCCTTCCTTTTTATCGTTGTAGCCTGTAGGTGACCTCAAAATGTCTAAGTAATGCCCATGGTAAAATGACCAGGTAAAATCAAAAGAAAGCCAAATCCAAAAACACGACGACGACGACGTCGTCGTGAGTTTTGCTTTTATTGTTATCCTAGTAAAGGTTAAAATTATTGCATATTTCGTTTAAGCGATAATTCCAAATGATTGGGCCATTTCAAATTATTGCATAATTCGAAATGGCTCAACCCTACTAAAAAATGTATTTTTATCCCACAATGTGCGAAGAAGTAAAAGCTATAGTTATAGCACGTTCGCGTAGTCTGGGCAAAATGTTTAGACATGTACCTAAGGACGAAGGTGCAAAGTGGTTAAGGTATACATTACCATCGTGGTTGCTGTCATGGATGCCACTGACCACTGCCACCAGTGCTCTGTCGTTGTTGGTGCAGTGCGGGCATGGTGCCGGTCGCGAGCTGCGGAAGCCAGCCGTTCCCTCCGCGCTCGCTGCTGGAACGGAGTACGGCCATAGCGCGGCGACACCATTAGGATGAGTCTGCGTCGGTGACGACGGAAACGGAGGCGCAGACTTTCTCGATGAATGGAGGGGGTAATGTTGGCGTTCTGAAATGAGCGGAGAGGTGGATGCATACAGATAAACGAGGCGAAAACCTGTGGGGAAGGCGTTTGCAAGGCAACGAGTTTTCGCCGAACATGTTTTACGTATCAATTTGGGTTCGAGGAGCGAAAACGTTATAGTGAAATCGAATACGGTGAAGGATTCTAGAACTCTCCAAAATTACATGTGCAACTGGATACTGCAAAAATGGGGAGCCCATATATCGCGAGTAGTGTTTGAGAACACCTTTTTTCGAAGCTATCGTTAGCAAACGACTAAGAAGATGCTTCACTGACGCTTCCTCGTCGTCGCGCCGTTATTGGCAGGTCGTCGGGGCTTTCCTCTCTTTCCTCTTCTCGCGGCGCGGCAAATGGAAACACCAGACTTCTCCCTCCTCGCGCCGTGAGGAGAGAGAAGGGTTTTTCGTCTCCAGCTGCGGCAGCAGACAATAAACGCCAGCATTAAAACCCCCGCAAAGTGTCACCCGTAAAGCTCTCCCTTTAAAAGCGCAGGCTCACGCCGTATTTACTGTGCATGATTGGTCTAGCCAGGCACGACAGCGCCATGACGATACACTTTTTGCGCTGCTTTATTGATTCCATCGGATCGTAGCGCTGGCCGCGGTTGGACTTAATGTGAAACAGAGTGTAGCTATGGGCCTTGACCACAAAAAGTTGACTGTCATATTTCTCTTCTCGGAGCCCTCCCTATTGGAGAAATCTATGTGCACCCATGCGACTCGTATTCTATATTACCATATGAAACAGCAATACAACATACCGTACTTCTCCTGTCGGAGGACACATAAATTACATTGTTCTTTTCCACCTGTCTCGCAATACGTTTACAATTAGTGATACTTTATTTACATACACGTGGCACTTAGCACTTCCACTATTTCGTGTATTTTATATATGTAGTGCTTGTATAACACGTGGGTGATTGTCTGCAACGACCTAAAATTGCGAAGTCTGCTGAAACTACTTAAGCTTCAGTTGTTCTTAGTATGGGCATTTTGTATGGTGATATAGAATATGGGTCATATGAGTGCAAGCGATATGAAAGTGTTAGATTTAAAGGTGACACTTCGCAGGGATTTCGATGTCGGCGTTTGTTGTTGTCTGTCGTCGCACCGGAGATTGAAAAACCTCACCCTACCCTCATGACGCGAGGAAAAAGAAGTCCAGTGTTACCATTGACCGCGCCGCGCAAAGAGCAGAGAGGAGAGTCCCGTCGACCCGCTAGTGACGGCTCGACGACGAGGATGTGCCAGAGGAGCGTCTTCCCAGTCGCCTCCTTACGATAACTTCAAAATGGGTGTTTTCAAACATTAGTCGCGTTATCGAAATACTACTTTGCCAGTATTTAGGTACTCCGCGTAATGTTGAAGGATTTCAGAAACTTACACCGCGCTCTCACTTCAGTATAACATCTTGCCTTCTCGAACCACGATCGGAACGTAATATATGTTCTGCCAAACGTCGTCGCTTTGCAACCGCCTTCCCCGCAAAGCTGCGCCTCGTTCATCTGCACGCGTCAAATTCTTATTTGGAGTCGCGTTAAGCGCCACACGGGACAGGGTGGTCAAAAAGTAGGAACTGGATCATACCTAGGACATAAGTCTTGCTCTAATTGAGGCACTGGAATGAAATCCGTATACTCAGTCAGGTATGGGCAAAATACATCCAAATATGTATCGAAATACAAATACAAAATACATCGTCAAAAATGCATTTAATTACAAATCTAATTACATTTCCAATAAAACATTTAAATACAAAAAATACAAATACAACGAAATGTATTTGGTCTCCTCCAAATACTTTTCCAAATACATTCCTCAAAATTTGCGTCAGCGACTTCAGGGCACCTGCAACGGGTTTCTGGGTATCTCATTTTAATTTTGCATCGCACACTCGGGAGTGAGTGTGCGAGGTTCTAGTAACGTAATAGAAATATAATAACAACAAAATGTAATCAGCTTGGACGTAATAGGTGAAAAAAGTACAGAGCTTCAAGCAGCTTTTTTTGTCGATTACATTTTGGAATAGACCAACAAACAACCGAGACGACCAAGACGCGCAACATTAGCTAGAGAATTTTTATTGTTGCAACTCGCACCAGTTAAAAAAATCTGGACGACCCGCGCATTTAAAATGTTCCAGGCAAAAATATGGAGCGAAATCAGGCTGGAAAGCATCGCAAGTTGTCACAGGCACTTATTTAGCCAGTCTGCCTGTGAACGTCCATTTCGTCACTATTCTTGCCCTGGGCTAGCACCGTAATCACAAAGTCACTAAACGCTTGTGCTCGATTGAGAAACACTGCATTCGCTGCAGAACGTAGTTTTCTTTCTGCTCTGGACAGTGCCTTTAAAAGAAAGCCGGAGGAGAAAAAGAAAAAAAGCCCCATGGCCGAATAAAGGATGGAGACTATATCTTACAACCACATGCATAAAAACAAGAATTGTCGGGACAATAAATTTGAGGGATGTATTTTCGCCGACAAAATTGTATTTAATTACAGTTGTATTTGAAATACCCACGTTTTAGTATTTAAATACACACGTCAAATACATTACCCAGGTTGTAATTAAATACAAATGCAAAATACACAAAGTATATGAAATACGTATTTCAAATACTTGTTTTTGAAATACTGCCCATCCCTGCACAGTTAAAGACAGAGCTGGCCAAATTACTCATATTTTGTAATTAAATTACATTACTAATTACTTTGCTGAAAATTGCTGAAATGTAATTAAATTACATTACAAATTACCACAGCCAGAAAGCAATTAATTACCATTACAAATTACTTGTAAAAGTAATGACATTACTTTCGCATTACTTTTGTATACTTTTAAATATAATGGAGCTATTGATAACTTCCTTTTACAGATAACTTTATTTACATTATTTACACAGTTCATGGCACACAGCTAGAACTCTCTGTTGCATGTTTACCGATGGACAGAGGAACGCACGCGACTGATCCGTTTCCCACCCCAACCCGGACAACTATTTTTGGAGATGACTGAGGACCCTACGCGGATGATCTCTGGGAGGGGGGAGAACAATTGTCATCGTTCGCAAAATCGCGTCGAGGGCCGTTCCACCAGGGGCCTTAGTTCGACCTACTTCCCTAGCTCCTCCTTCGTTTCCCGAGAATGTCGAGCAGAAAAGCTCGAATGGAAGGCACTTACCAGCCCTATTTCTCACAGTGGAAGATAACACAGAGAGGGTACGCAGTATGCATCAGAAAAAGTAAGCGGAAACGTTCAAGAGGGGCCAGAAAACGTCGAATGAAAAACCGCAGAACATAGGTAGAGAATCGCGCTGAGCGGGTTTTCACAGTTCAAGAGAGTGGCAGAAAATGTCTAGCTGATAGGGGGCGCGAGAGTCGCACCAGCCGCATTAGCATCAGCAACATAGCGGCGGCCAAAGAGCGTTTTTGAAAGGTGTAGAGGAAAAAGAAAAAGTAAAATAAAAAGAAAAGCGCTCTTGTGTATTGTGGACACAAAAGATATGCCTGGTGCGAAAAAGTAATTAGGTAATTTAATTACAATTACCGTCGCTGGAGTAATTCATTACATTACTAAATTACCTGCTACAAAAAGTAATGAATTACATTACTAATTACTGGAACAAGTAATTAAATTACTGTAATTTCATTACAGTAATTGCATTACTGCCAGCTCTGGTTAAAGACAACATACGCTGAAACGAGATAACATGAGGACGACAGAGCGGCTGCCGCTGTATCTAAAAGAAAATCTCACTCAGCAAAAAAAAAAAAATATTCCTTTATCAAGAGAGAAACGATCTTGTAATTTATGTTCCTTTAGAAAGGAAAGAAATTTCGTCCCTGAAAGTGGGAGAGCCAAGTTTCTCCACCGTCTGCATCTCATTATGACGGCCCGGGTCGAGCGAATCGAGCTCAGTAGAGCTTAACTAGGACTCTACGTTTATTGTCGCTTTTTACACTGAACACTGCCGCGGTTAACACGCTCCCTGTGGTACACGCGCCGTCCGAGAAGGGTGACCCAAATAACCTTCTACGTTCGTTGCCGTGGTGACGGCGGTGAAAGCAGACGGCCTTTATGCTGCACAGGAACACTGTGGCAGCGATACGAGGTGCGTGCTGGGGCCCTTCCCGCATGCTTTTCAATAGGCGGAACGCGAACAAAAAGAGTTCGAAATAAGGACTTAACGCAGAAGGCTAGTTTTCTCCAGCGCCTCGTAATTTGACGAGCCTTATACGAAAACAGTGTTTTCATAGCGCAGCTCTTAGGCTCCCG